CAAACACACCATGTTTGCAAACTGTACATCAATGGGGGCACCATGGCCTGATGAGGATAGAGACATGCACATTGCTTTGTTTGCAAGCAAAAGAGCAGAAAGAAATGTCTGAGACCCAAGAGCCTGTCTGRGCTTACAAAAATGTGAGTCTATTTTCCTATGCTTCCTCCTTGCTATTCTCAATTTCAGAAAGAATTTCAAGCGAGCACCCCATACAGCATTAACGTGTTGTCTCCTATTAGATATGCTCTTAACTTCTTGAACGTCTCATGGCAGCTTTCGTTTCCAAAGGTATTGCAGAGTTAGGAGGCATGTCTGTCCAGGGAGTCAAGATAAATACAGCCTATTAAAGAATGATTCCACAATTTGGTGACAACTACTTCTAATGGAGTAAACACTAACCTGCCCAAGGACCCTGTGAGTAAGAAGTGGACAGTCAAAAAGCACTCCTGAAGTAAAGAGTCTTCCCTAGAAAAAGCTGTGTACTGTCTTAGAAACTGTCACGAGCCATTCTTCAAGTTATAAGGTGGTTTCATAAAAATATTTGAATAGAGTCATTAAAAATGAAGGCTCCTCTAGCATTTCCAGCTTTATTTCTGTCCTCTGTAAATCTTCTCCTATTAAAGACATAGCTTTCTCTCTTTTCTTTTCTCCTTGTTATTCTTTCAGCATTGCTTACAGAAGAAAAGTATAACAAGGTCTTAAGCTAATTATTAAGTTAAATTAGGAATAATGAGCASCCTGTCACACACATTAAAAGCCATRGTGGGGGAAGGGATGTAGGTGAGCTTTATCCTTCAGGCAGCTCTGCCTTCAGCTTGGTGCCTGATCTGTGGGCACAGCGCCTCCAGTTACTGAGTGCCCTCCCCATCACAGGTACTGAGGCAGGCACGTAGGCCTGTGGTGTAACTTGGGAAATCAAAAAGTTGAAACCATGGTTTATGAGGCAGCAAGCAGGGAGTAAGCTTTTTTTGCTTTCTTTTTTCCCCTCAAGGAAAAGGAGGACATGAGTCAATACTCCTCACAAGACTGAGGAGGCCTCAACCCCAGCTGAGCTGTGCACAGTGCAAAGCTGTCCTCTGCCCCTCTGTCGTGCTCCTGGCAGGGCGGGGGGAGCATGACAGCATCCAGCAGCTCCTGGATGCGGCAACACCTCCAATCTCACTGCTGCGTGCAGATCTCCCTGCGAGGGCCCCGACTGGCTCTGAGTGCAGCAGGGAGGTGTTCGGGGCATGCTTGAGCCAGCTTTTCAGGTTCACCCGGCCCCACAGCTCCTCACAAACCTCTCCGTGAGGCCCGGCAGCCCTGTGGTTGGGAGCCATCCTAGCTTGGAAACACCCCGGGTTTGCAAATGAGTGTGTTTTCCAGGCGATGGCTGTGCAGGTGCTAAACCCTGTGCCCAAACCCTGGGCTGGGGGCAACTCCTCTGCTGGAAGCAGCTCCTTGTGGGAAATACGGAAGGGATGAAGACACACACTCGCAAGGCTCCTGTTCTGACCCCTGTCCTTAGCCCAGTGCCAGCGGCTGCAGCATTGCTGGGGCACACACGGGCTTGGCACTGCCTCAGAGCCTGCTCCCCTGCAGGACTTCACAACCAGCCCATAAATTACTGCTGCTCCAGCCCCCGTGTCGGCTTTGGAAGGGTCCCTGCACACCACTGGCAGCATCTCCATGGGAGAATCTGACTGTGGGCTGCAGAGAGGCCGCATCAATTCYGCATCTGGTTTTTCCAGCCTAGTAAGGTGGCAGCACCAAACTGTCAACAAAATTTGCCTACTGAAGAGGAGCCGTCTCCCTCTGCCGGTGAGTGTGAAATCGCTCCATCTGGCAGAGGAAAGCCTAAAGGAGACGATGGTTTTTACTTCCTCATCGTTTAATGTTAGTGAGCAAAGAGCACCTCTGTGGCAGGAACCTTTTCCCTTTGCCTGTGCATGGCTCAGCTCCAGCCTCTCATCTTTGCCCGTGGGTGTCTCCCTCATGGGCCCCATGCACCTTTCTGATGCTCTTGAGAGTGTGAGCAGTGCTTTTCTCTGATGCTTCCACGTTACAAATATTTTTCACAGAGGAAGGCAACAAGCCAAGCTCTGTCAGTCCCCCAGCTCCAGCAGTGGCCACTTGCCATTGACATCATTGTTAGAGCAAGTTCATCCCTCTGTCCCTAGCAGGGCCTCCTTGGGGCTGTGTCAGGGCAGATGGAACTGCACRGTGAGTCCTGAAAGCTGTGAAATGGAAAGCAGCTTCCTCCCTCTCAAAGCAGATCCTTTGAGATCTGGCAAGGCATGATCTCAAAAACCAAAAATGCCCATAGTCCCTCCCAAGCTGTGTTTTTGGAAGGGCTCCCCCAGTCCTTAYAAACACCAAGGAGACATTACACACCAACCAGGAGCAGGGCTCTATGCCTTTCAGCACAGCTGAGGGCAGCCAATCACTCCAAAAAGCTGACAGGTGTCTTGGGGTTCAGAAAGCTCCTCCCTTCTCTCTCAGCGTCTTCCCTCTTGCTCAGGGACTGTTGCTAAGCTGCTTCTCCCTCTGCAGCTAAGCTCGTTTACCCCCATCAGGACTACTCTACCTGCTGCTATAAAAGACTCTGGGTGGGAAGCAGCTGGGACTAGTTGTTTTTCAGGTTCTTATATCTGCCCTCTGTGGTGTCTGTAGTAGGAATGTCTGTGTAGCAATCCTTTTAAGGAAAACTTTTGAATTATTATTTAATAATGAATTTGTGCTAGTGCCGTGGTAGTGATGCTGTCAACTAACCTAATCCTGTCTCCTTTGAATAGCTATGAGTGTTCCTATAAGGTAAATTCTTCCAAGATCAAACTATGTGCTGAGATAAAACTCAGCTATTTTGGTAAAAAGCTTTGCAGAGTTGAGTTTTCTTCTGTTAGTGGCAATCCTGAAAAACCAGAGGGATCCTTCTTGATTGTGAAGAGATAAGTGTGCTCATATTGATACACAGAACCATTTATCTGTAGTTCAAATGAAGTTGGTTTTGCGAAATCCAAGATAACARGGAAGGTTGGAGCAGTTATGGAAAACAGAATGGTATGCTCACAAGGACAATAGCAGTCCCACACATCTTATGTCTGCTCTTACAAAAGTATGTCAATAAACAAAAATAATACCCAAAGGGTTCTTGAAAGAAGCACAGATTAGCCTGTGTGTCATGCTGGGGAAAAAAAAAAAAAAAGAATAAACAATATTACATGTTCTGCAAGTGGTAAACCCTGCATTACAATGCAGAGTCTAGCAGATGCTTTGGATGGAGCTGAACTTCAGTGCTCTTCCTGCAAAGCTTTGGGTAAGGTCATCTATCAGTTCAGGCAATGATAATGCTGGATTTTGGGATCTAGGCAGGGAAACGTTAAAGGCTGTGCCCTGAATCCACCAATGATCTACATGGACTGCTATTAAAGAAAGTCTTTTTAAAAGATAAACTGACTGAGAAGGAGGGTTGAATGGTTGATTTTTTGTTAAAACTAAACTGGTAAGAAGCTGAGGGCCTTGGCAAGAATAGAAGACAAAACTGGTAACAGATGATCTTAAAAACCTTGCCTGTAGTTTGGGTCAGGAAGGGGGGATGAGCTGAACAAACAACTGCAGACCTTTTGGGCAACACAGAGAACCTTTCACAGTTTGGTTTACATCCCATCCACCTTTTGTCAYGACTGCCTGGTAGCAAAAGGAATGGGCATCTATAGTGTAAGAAATGGTTGGGTCTGATCAGGGAATTTGCATTACAGTAAGTTTTGTAACAGATGGGTTGAAAAAACTCCACATGCCAAACAAAGGCTTGAAGATTCTTCACAGGTTTTACCTTGTTAAATAAGGAGTCCTCTGACAGTACCACCTTAGAGCTAGGTAAAGAAGTGGAGGCTGTCATTATCAGGACTTTCCAAAGATGTTTCACAAGGGGTTCTCCAGAAAGCTGCAAAAAAGAGATGGCTAACTTGTGACAATCAAAGCTTTACTGGGGTTCAAAATAGTCTCAAGACAGAATCAAGTATAATGAATGCTGATTAATTTAGTTTAGTTAAAATACAGAAACAAGCACTTGCTTCTGGKGTTAGAGGAATGGCATTCTAGTCCCACTTCTGTAGCTAGGGGGTCTTACAAAGCAAAGTACTGAGCTTTGGTTTTGTGCTCTCAACTTTGTCTGGGGTTAGCAGGTTTA